TATGCTAAGTTTGATATAAATAAATGATAATATTAATGAGCACTCTTTCACAGTAATTATACCATTTTACATTATTGAAAAATGAGGCTGGGTGTGGTGGCTCATGCCTATAATCCCAGCAATTTGGGAGGCTGAGACAGACAGATCACTTGAGGTCAGGAGTTTGAGACCAGCCTGACCAACATGGCAAAATCCTGTCTCTACTAAAAATATAAAAATTAGCTGGTTGTGGTGGCGGGCACCTGTAATTCCAGCTATTCGGGAGGCTGAGGCAGGAGAATCTCTTGAACCTGGGATACAGAGGTTGCAGTGAGGCGAGATTGCACTATAGTATTCCAGCCTGGGCGACAGAGCAAGACTTAGTCTCAAAAAAAAAAAAAAACAAGAAAAATGAAACAAGTGATTTACCACTCTCTTATCTTTGTGATTAAACACTAGCTTAATAATTTGATTTTAAAATGAATTATAAAAAAGAATTTTAAATTTTGTGCCCACCCCATGGATTTCTTAAAACCTGTTCATAGTTTTCCAGATAAAAATCTACACTAAGTGGTCTCTCTTGACAATCTCGTCTGCTATCATTGTTTTGACTACTGTGGTATAAACTGATAACACCCAGATCTCTTATCTCTAATCTAAACCTCTTCTTGTAGCTTCAGATCTATTACTCACATAGACACTAGCAGGATCTGGCTAAAATACTATAGTGACCATGTCTTGCCTGCTAACAAATTGCCTAGTGACTACCTGAGCAGGTTAAATACAAACTCTTAAACAGGCATTTAAAACTCAATTGTCATTCTTAGGTAAAACATTTCCAGCTTAATCACTTATTTTCACTTATACTTTGGACTTTTAAGTTTTCTTAATTTGCCAATTCCCAGCCCGAGCAGCAATCCCCAGCAGCATTGAGATGTTACTGAAAAGAAATGACTACTTTGTTTTCCCCTGGGTATTGGAGCTTTGCTGAAAAAAAACTATGTCAGTTGAGGTATTTCTAACATCATACTGTTTCAATTTAGCAGATCTTTAATTGTTGCTTGCAGAATTTTTCCACCTTTCTTACTGCTTTTATTTCACTGCATTTCCAAACTTTCTTCACTTTTTTAGTTCATTCTGTTGTTCTCTCCCTCTCCCTTTTAATCGTCTGATTTTTTTTGTTTTGTTTTTGCTGAGGTTACATGATCTCTCGCTACTTCTTTTTCCTTCGTACACCTTAGAAGAGGTGTATCTTATGTCATGGCCCCTTTTCATCATTTACATACTGTTGTTTTTAATATCCGTAACTTGGCTTTAACATTTTATTTTTCTTTGGCTGAAAGACTATAATATCTTACTTTTTGGCTTGTTGACCTTAGTGACATTTGTGGAACTAGAGGTAGGCTTACGGAAAAGAGAGTGTATCTGTTCAAATTATGTTAGACGTTTTGGTCTTTTTAAAAATAATGATATTTATCAATTTTTAATTCATTCTTCCTCATTTACTTAAAACACATTTATAGCCTGTAATCCCAGCCCTTTGGGAGGCCAAGGTGGGTGGATTACTTGAGGCCAGGAGTTCGAGACCAGACTGGTCACCAGGGCGAAACCTCATCTCTAGTAAAGATACAGAAATTAACTGGGTGTAGTGGTGCACATCTGTAATCCCAGCTACTCAGAAGGCTGAGGCATGAGAACCACTTGAACCTGGGAGGTGGAGGTTACAGTGAGCCATGATCATGCCACTGTACTCCAGCCAGGGTAAGAGTAAGACTGTCTCAAACTAAACAAAGAAGTGTATAAATAATAAAATAAAACACATTTATAGTACTTTAAACATTTTTTCCCAATACATTTAATTTTTCCTCTACAGTTCTTTTAGTCAATTATTTTTGAGTACTTGTATATTGTATAGTCATCTTAAAAGAGCTTTATTGAATTTGTGCTCAGATTATCTTTTGTTTCAAATTTCCATAAAGGTGAATTAATTATCACAAGTGATGATATATAAGATAGAAATTGCTTAAGAATGCTGAGAATTCTGTTTGAAAATCTTCCAGCAGTCCTGGGGGGTGGAATTAGGGGTAGGGGCAGCAAACTTCTGTGGGTCATGGAAGAGGATAATGGAGAGAGATTTTTGTGAAAGGATGATCAAAAATTTCTTTCTGGCAATTTGATGGAAGAAAAGAAAGGTTAATTGAGATAATACACACTCAGAGGGAAGAATATGCATTTTTGTTTGTTTCAGCACTTGTCTAAAAAGAGCAAATTTAATCAAGCAATACTAAATTGGTAAGATAACTAAATGATAAACCCAGTAGGAATATAGTGGGACTTCTTGTTACATTTTAATTGATGAAAGTCACTGGAGGTTAATTTTAGGTCACAGATTGCCATTGTTCCTTTCATTAAAACTGACATTTTGGTCAAAAGACTGGTGTTTTTATTTGTTAACACGAAAAATACGTGAAGCACCTTTATAGTGGAATGTAAAACACATTCAAAGATTCATAAGAATGATATGAATTGTATCGGTATTTGAAGATAACATGATGTCATGATTTTACTTTTGTTATATAGTCCACCTTCTGTAGTGTACTTAAAATTCTTTCTGTACCGAATGCAGTTGAGAACCAAATATTGCTTCAGTTTTGGGAAGATAATCAAATGTAGTGAACACATTGATTCAGTTTGTGAAATTTAGAGAATTTAATTTGAATGAGTGCCCTAAAGCATTTTTTTACTCAGCAAATCCCTAATGTGTTTCCCATGTGCCAGGTGGTGGTATAGACCAGCTTTCTGGGAGTCATAGTCTGCTGCAGCTCTTCCTTCACTTTCAACAGATAATCAGTGATATGCTCCTTATCCCTTTTATTCCCCGAACAGCTGTTATAATCACGTCTTTGATTATTCTTTTTTGCTATAATAATTTGTGTTACCACTCATTCTCTCCTGACCATGCTCTTTTAACAACTTTCAACTGGTCTCCTGCTTTCTAGCCTAATTCACACTGATGCCAGGATGATTTTTAGAAAACACAAATATGACGGATACTCACCTGTTTGATATCTTCAGTGACCCTCATTACACACGACTTTTCTTAGTAAGCCGTAAAAGGCCTTTCACAAATTTTTCTTACTTTTTCATCCGTATGCCTTCACCTCACACTGTAAATAACCTTGCAGGCTGCTTGCAATTCTATGAACTACTCACATTGTTTCACATTTTCATGCTTTTGACCATAGTTTATAGTCGCATTATGGAATGCTCTTTTTAAAGTAATAAGAATATGAATACTGTCAGCAGCAAGAGTAGTGTTAGAAGATAAAGCCGTAACCATGTGTCAGACACTGTCTTATCTCTTCACTCTCATTTAGTTTTGTGACAATCCTATGAGGTAGGCATAGATGAGAAATCTGAGGCACAAGAAGTATATGTAACATGTCCAAAGTCATACATTTGACCCTGGAGGCTGTCCTCTAAGCTGCTACATTACATTGCCTCTTCTTGCATGAGACTCTATTCAAGCATCACCGCTTCTGGGTTCCTTTCCACACCGTACCTCTCCATCTTCTCAGGAAAAGTAGACTGTTTCCTTGTTTGAATCTTTGCTGATTAACAGTGGTTAAACACTTAGGACATATAAGTGTTTATGTGTCCGATATAATATATAGTACATTATTACATTTACATTCTTCTGTCTTGCTTCACAAGGACAAGAATACTGTGTCTTTATATCTCATTCTTATGTCTTTAGTGGTTGTCACATAATCACAAGGCAAAGGGATAAATGAATGCATGAATCACTTAATTTTAGAGGTATAGGGAACTTTAAAGACAATTCAATTTAGCCTCCTTATTTTGTAGATGAAGAACTCAGTCAGAAGAACTCGTTTTATAGTTAATTGGGGGGTGTTTTAGGTAGCATTGGCTGATTTAAGTCTGATTTAAGATACAGCATTTAACATATTCTGTTGATACAGTGTTTGGAAACATTTGTATGTTATATTTATTGTCAGTATGATGCAGAAAGTTGTCTGAATTATATGCCTCTGTAGGTCCTTTTGAGTTCTTTCTAATGTCAGATATGAAGGTGTTTCTTTAAGAATTAGATTGGAAGGTCGTTACGCATTCTAACATGAATCCTTAGTAAAACTGTATCCTGTAAAATATTCAGTAATTTTGCAAGAGTGTGTGTTTTCTCTTTTAACCTTGTGTTAAAGACTAGAAAATGTGGCATAAAATTAAGTTTTGAATCTGGGAAGTAGATAAATGGTGATTAATGACGCTATTCTTTCTACTTTCTTATATATTTAAAATTTTTATAATAAAAAATAAAGTCTGAATGTTCTATCTCTATTTTGGCTATATAAAATCGGAATGTTCATTTGTCAATATAGGTATTCATAGGAAACTCCATATCCTTTACAATTTCTTTCTGGACTTACACTACTATGGCAGAATAAATAAGTAATTTATGTATTTTTATTGACTTCATACAGATAAGGTTAATTTTTTTTCTGATAGATGATGTCATGTTTTCAGCTGAAGATCGGTGATAGGAAACTCATAGCTTCCTGAGAGAAAAAGCTCCAAACAAGCTTACTTTTAGTTTTGTATTACAAAACAAAATAGAGAATATTAGTCACCATTGTATCTTGCATTTGTTTTGCAACTATAATTTTTTTTTTTTTTTTTAACTTCAGAATTTCAAATTCTTTTACAGAAATCCACATTGAGGGTACTTTGATAGTAGATAGGGAACCAAAGGTAAATATTAATTATCGTCAGTATTCCACTTCTCTTATTTGCTGGTGAGTACACAAGTGCTCTTTTTCAGTGATTTAATTTAATAAAGAGCTTTGTGTAGAGGAAAATTCCTAACACAAATATTTAACACTTTTTGGTATTTAAAAATATACTTGTTCAGAAGTGGATATAACAGATATGATTTATTAGTGTTAAGATTTTGAATTAAAATGTATAGGGTTAATTCTATTAATATCTGTTCTTACTTTAAGGGTTCTGATGACTGTCTTGTGAAAATATGGGCAACAGATGATGGGAGGTTATTAGCTACCTTAAGAGGACATGCTGCTGAAATATCAGACATGGCTGTAAACTATGAGAATACCATGATAGCAGCTGGAAGTTGTGATAAAATGATCCGAGTCTGGTGTCTTCGAACCTGTGCACCTTTGGCTGTTCTTCAGGGCCATAGTGCATCTATTACATCACTACAGGTAATTGTCTTAATCCCTATACATTTTTGTTGTTGTTGTTATAATGTAAAGTAAATTTAATGAAGTCGCTTTTGGTTATTAAATTTTAAGAAGTTACTTTTATAATCACTTTTATAATCCAGTATATAAGGCCAACTAAAATGAAGACTGCTTTCTTTATAAATGTATGTACTTTAAATAACATAACCTTGGTAAATTCTTGCCATTTTCTAACTGTTACTGTTAGTTGCTATTTGTATGGCAAAAAGTAGATTTTATTTGGACTATGTCACTCTTGTAAAGATATTTTTTCTGTGATTGTCTTTTCAGTTCTCACCATTGTGCAGTGGCTCAAAGAGATATCTATCTTCTACTGGGGCAGATGGCACTATTTGTTTTTGGCTCTGGGATGCTGGAACCCTTAAAATAAAGTCAGTTTCTATTTTATTTCATAGAATAAATGTGTTTAATTTAATGAGTGGAATTGCGAAAGTATGAAGTAGTCGACAATGGGAATACATTTACTTTTTCTCCTTGACTAAATAATAGAAATCCTCTTTTGGCTGTTTACTAACCTGTTTTGTTTTTATACCTCCCTCTTTTTCTATGTTTCAAATAAAGTTTTCTCATGTTCACATTTTTTTTTTCTCTTTATCCTAATCATAGCTCTTTCCTTCAGAATTTACCTATTTTATTACCACTCCTTTCTATGTGCTGTATATTTTAATAGCTGCTTTTGATGCTGAGAACATAATCTTAAGAATTGGTAATGCTGTTCTTTAAAATAATTTTAATAATTGATGCTACTGAACCTATAAACTTGAGATTTTATTTTAGATCTAGGAAAACAAAGGGAGACAGAATCATTGAGGTTTCACTAAACTGCATCAAGGTAGATAGATGTATTCCCCTCCCTCCCCATAATAGCATTTTGTGTTTGTGCAGTCTCCCATGTTAATACTTTGGTTTATCAAAACAAGTTGGTTGGATAGTATCTTTTGATTAAGGGCACTGAAAAGGTTGAAAGACTTTCCCATAGTTAAAACAATGCTTAAAAATTGGCAAGGCCAGGACTAGAGCACTTTTCTGCCCTTTGATACTTTCTATACCATATCTTTTGTTTGTGTGTTTATTTATTTATTTTTGAGGTGGAGTCTCACTCTGTCTCAGCTCACTGCAAGCTCCGCCTCCCGGGTTCACTCCATTCTCCTGCCTTAGCCTCCCAAGTAGATGGGACTACAGGCGCCCGCCACCACGCCCGGCTAAGTTTTTTGTATTATTAGTAGAGATGGAGTTTCGTGAGCCACCGTGCCTGGCCTCTATACCATATCTTTTAAGTAGATGTAGTGGGGAGAGGAAATAGTGTATTTGCTCCATGGGTAGTCTTTGAACAAGGAAGTAGTGTATTCAGTTGATTTCACAGTGTTGAAATGGCCATTTCTGCCACTCGAGGTAGAAAGTCATTCAGATTAGAAAGTATATCTCAATAATTATCTCTGACTTCTATGTATAAATTGCCAACCCAAGTTATTTAATAAAATATGCATGCCTTTATTATTTTAAAAACAGTAGCGTTTAGATGATTGTAATGCAATGCCTGCTGCTTTAATTTCATGTGTATGGACATTCTTGTAGAGTGGTTTTTATGGCAGCTTGGGGGCCATGGTAGCTCGAGTAACATAATAAAACTACTTCGTTTGAAAAAAGATTGTGATTTAAAACATGGTTCTTTGGACAAAGCAAGTTGACTTCACTTCAGTTGCATCCCTCGTATTTAAAGTCTTTATCAATAGATAAAAGTTGAAATATTTTACTGATGTATATGGACAATAGCAATAGTTAATTGTTAATTGTTGTTTTCTTGTATATATTTTTAACCTCCTTGTGGACCTGATTGGGATACCTTTCTCTCTTCCTATCTTATTGTTTTAGAGAAGAAAAAGTGATTAGCAATGTTCAAATTGGGATAGGAACAGAAAATGTTTTACAGAATTAAGCTCACACCTTATTTATGCTTCTTGAGGATTATATTGCTAAGTACAATAACATATCATGTTTCTGGATGCTTGAGAAGTGCGCTTTTCCATATAAGTGATTTTTTTCAGAACCTTTATGTAGAATCACATATAAACCCTTAATACAGTATTTTTTCTCCGTGAATGTTTTTATATAGATACAATTAGGAAAATATATATAATTTTGTTTTTTTCTTAATATTTTACCATAGATATTTATATTTATTTTAATAGCTTGCATTGTGTTCCATAGAGCTGTTGTATACAGCTTAGCAATTTTTTTTATTTTTGGACTTTAAAGTTTTTTCTGGTTATTTATAAGTAATATTCTTTCCTATTTGGTATTAAAATTGTCCCTTAAAATTTTTAAATTCAGAGTTCAGGCGTAAGAATGAGTAATGTGGCTGGGCACGGTGGCTCATACCTGTAATTCCAGGACTTTGGGAGGTCAAGGAAGGAGGATCACTTGAGTTCAGAACTTTGAAACCAGCCTAAGTAACAGAGCAAGATCTTGTCTCTACAAAAATTCAAACAAACAAACAAACAACAGCAACAACAAACACCAGACATGGTGGTGCACACTTACAGTCCCAGCTACTCAGGGGACTGAGGTGAGAGGCTTGCTTGAGCCCAGGAGTTGGAGGCTGAAATGAGCTGTGATCACACCACTATACTGTAGCCTCGGCGACAGGGCCAAGATCCTGTCTCATTAAAAATATAAAAATAAGAACAATCCATTGCTCTTTAGATATAAGCCTTGAAACATCTATTCTCTTTATGTATTTACACATAGTTGAAAACTGCCAAAAATTTGACAGGATATAGATTTCTACTGTGTTTATGTCACATAGGATTTAATTAATAAAGGCAAAAACTGTATTTAGCTATAATGCTTTTGTATAATCTGGGGGAAATGACTTTAGAAACCCAGCATCTGCATTAGTTGAATGAATCAGTTCAACTTTGGGAACTCAAATATCTTTATATATTCACTTGTATGTGTATATTACCAACTCTCCAGTAAAGATGCTGTTTCTTAAATGGGTAGTCGAAGTGGCTAATTGAACCATAAGCCAGCCCCAGAGGTCTCTGGGTAGGGGGAAGCTGTCCAAGTATATTTAGACTTATGTGTAAAGAGACTAGGAATCCTAAAATAGGCGTATAATATGATAATTACGAATTTTTATTGGTGATTATTAGGCACTTAGTCTGCCACGCTAGTACTAAGCATTTCATATTTGTTATCTCAATCCCTATAAATAACCCTTTGAGAAAGGTACAGTTATTATCTCTGGGGCAGACAAGGGAAAAAACTGGGGCACAGCAGGTTACATTGTTAGCAGGTGGTACTGGAGCCAGGATTTAAATACTACTAGAGGTATAATATGAGAAACCCCTTTTAACCACTGTGCCAAATTAAATGGCAGTTAGTCATTGAAGGATTGGCTAGAACTTGTTGAACCTCATAAAAATACTAATATTTATTGAGCATATTGGACACTGTACTAAGCACTTTACATGAATCACACTTACTTAATTCTCCCAGCAACTCTGAGATAGGTTCTGTTAATTACCCCTGTTTTACACATGAGGAGACTGAGGTACAGAAATGGTAACTTGGCCTAAGGTCACACACTTGATAAGTGATAGACCTAGAAACTGAACTCGGCCCAAGGCCCTTTTAAAAAATGTTTCCTCAATAATGCATCTAAAAACAAATTATGGGTACCCACTTGTTTTTTCTCTTTAAAAATATAAAATCTTTATTTTTCAGTTTTAGTTTTTGTGGGTACATAGATGTATATATTTATGGGGTACATGAGATCTTTTGATACAGACATGCAATGCATAATAATCACATGGTGTTAAAGAGGGTATCCATCCCTTCAAGCATTTATCCTTTGTTTTACAGACTATCCAATTATACTCCTTTAGTCATTTAAAAATGTATAACTATTGTTGATTATAGTCACCTGCTGTGCTATCAAATACTAGGCCTTATTCATTCATTCTATTAGTTTTGTACTCATTAACCATCCCCACCTCCCTCCTCTTTCTCCCACTACCTTTCCCAGCCTATAATAGCCATCCTCTACTATCTCATGAATTCAACTGTTTTGATTTGTAGATCCCAAAAATAAGTGAGAACATGTGATGTTTGTCTTTCTGTGCCTGCCTTATTTCACTTAGCATAATAACCTTCAGTTCCATCTGTGTTGTTACAGATGACAGGATTTCATTCTTTTTTATGGCTGAATAGTGTACCCCATTGTGTATAAGTACCACATTTTCTTTATTCATTCATCTGTTGTTGGACCCTGTGGTTGCTTCCAAATCTTCGCTCTTGTGGCTGGGAGTGTTGGCTCATGCCTGTAATCCCAGCACTTTGGGAGGCCAAGGCGGGCAGATGATCTGAGGTCAGGAGTTTGAGACCAGCCTGGCCAACATGGTAAAACTCCTGTCTCTACTAAAAATATAAGAATTAGCCGGGCATGGTGGTGCATACCTGTAATCCCAGCTACTTGGGAGGCTGAGGCATGAGAATCACTTGAACCTGGGAGGCAGAGGTTGTAGTGAGTTGAGATAGTGTCACCGCACTTCGTCCTGGGTGACAGAATGAGACTCTGTCTCCAATAACAAACAAAGTAACTTGTAGTGCTTTATTAAATTTATTGGTTAATCAAAATAATTCACCAGTGTGTAAAGAGAAGTGTCTAAAAAAAGTATCTAAAAATAAGTAACATTAACAATGACAAAGACTCAGATGGTGGTCCATCAAGTTCCAAATCGTCTATGTGTGCATATTTTCCATTAAACTAACCTTACTGATTTGCTGTAAACCTAAACAAGTAAACAAATTAAACACATAATTACTTACATTGTCACACTAATTTAATATTTTAAAATATAATTTCATTGCTGTTGTCATTTGGCTGTAATTTAACTTAAAAAATTTTAAGTTGAGGCAGGAGAATCATTTGAACCTGGGAGGCAGAGGTTGCAATGAGCTGAGATTGTGCCACTGCACTCCAGCCTGGGCCACAGAGTGAGACTCTATCTAACAAAACAAAAAAAACACAAATCTTCTCTATTGTGAACAGTGTTACAGCAAACATGGGAGTGCAGATATCTCTTCGATATACTGATTTCCTTTCTAAAATAAAAATCTTTTAAAAAATGGTAATCTCTAAGACTATTTGCATATTTTTGTAATGAGTTTCAGGTAAATGGTTGCTTGGAGCTTATGTGAGCAGATGTACCAAAAATTAGCAAAAATCTAGAGCTACAATCCTTAAGATAGTAATGAAAGCAATGTATTTAGTTGCCTTCATAATTCAGATTAATTTACTTAAATTACAATTAATTTTGCTCTGAATAAACGTTTAGGTTTTAAGAATGTTCTAATATCTGTCTCTCTAAATGATATTTGTTTTGCTCAGCTGTTAGAGCCTGTGAATATTAATAGAAGTTGTTGTAAATACTAATGTAAAACTATTTACAAACTTATTTTTTAAATTCTTAACATTTTGTTGCATTCTGTGTCAGTAAAAAAAGGTAATTCTCATTGCTCAGAATATATATTAGATTGGTACAAAAATAACTGCAGTTTTTGCCATTATTTTCATGGTAAAAAACTTTTTTAAACATGGCAAAAATTGCAGTTATTTTTGCACCAACCTATAGCTCAGAAATGTTTCATGTATATACTTTTTTCCAGTAAATGATCACAAAACTAAAACTGCTAAATTTGTTATAGATTCTGAAAGTTATATAGGCTTAAGGCTCTAATTATTTTTGCATTTCCCCAAATAGTGTAGAAGAACTATGCCAAAATGTACAGTAAGTAGGGCTTCAAATATAATCAGTATATTGGAACATTACATACACATTGTTAAATGTATTAGAGCAATCTTCATTTTCTCTAACTGGTTGGCTGTAACATTAAACATTTAATATCAGTAGTACTGATATAAAATGTAATCTAATACAGTTATGTAATTTATATAAATACAGTTGATGTAACTTATTTTCTGTAGACTGCTATTTTGAATGAGTGTTCATTATAGTTGATGTAAGAGTCACATTATCTTCAGATTTTCACTAGGATAAATGTAATATTCCTACTTTTTGGGGTCCTAAAGGACATGTTTTATCACATTAGTAGGTCAAAGAAGGGAGAAGTTTAATTAAAAATGTAAAATACTGAAAAAGTTTAGTTATTGATGATATACATAAGGCACAGACAGCACCTATTTTGCTACTGTATTCATGTTTGCGAATAGCTTTGTTCCTTACATGTTTGTACGTTGCTATTCTGTATGAAAAACTGAGAACATGTTAAATTTGATTAGAAGTAAGTGTAACTAGTAACTGCATGTCTGGTATGACAGTGACTTTGGGATTGTTCCATGTACGTATTGTTGTATAATCAGGAGGTCCTACAAAATCTGTATCTCGAATTTCTACAAGATCTGCTGATTTATGACACATAATGATTTCTAAGTTGTTTTTAGGAAGGGAGCCATCTGTTGCTTCTTACTTAATTTTGCCCTTCTGGGATTATTTTTTGAAACAGATTATTTCTGGTGCTACTGGTTCCTTTAGGATTTTTTTAATTGTTTATTTTTTGTATTACAGCCCAAGACCTGCAAAATTTACAGAGCGCCCTCGGCCTGGAGTTCAAATGATCTGTTCTTCTTTTAGTGCTGGTAAGTTTCCCCCATTCTAATTTTCCACTTAAAGTTGTTCATTTAGAAACCTTCTAGTGGAGCGCATAATATTTAGGAAAATATTTACTGTTGTATTATAAATCATGTTCTTATACATATGCCAGAGCTAGTGAATAACCAAGAATCATATAAACTAGCTTAGAAGTATTTCAGTTATGCAAGAGTTTAGTTTATAGAATCACATGACTAATGTTTTTCTTTAAGAAGACTATAATGTTCTAGTAGGAGAGAATAAATAGTTTCAAAATCGACCCTGTTAAAGAATGAATGTTTAAATACTTGTTTCATTGGAAGAACAGTATTTTAAATCAGGTTTATGTTTTCATGGATTTTGAAGGTATTCTATAGTTAAGTAAAATACATTTGATTCATATTTGTACATCTTTATCAGTTCATTCGCTGCATATTATTGTTATTTGCACTTTAAAAAATGATTGTATAGCAGTGCTAAGTTTCCAATTCAGATTTGTGTTTATGCAGCAGCATTTTGAATGGATGTTAGGTTGTTTTTAAACAAGTTATTAAAAAAAACCTGGTTATTTGTAGTAAATTGACAAGAAAATTAAATGAAACATGAGTAGATCCAAATTGTGTCTAATACCTGTTCCTCCTACCTTTATTTTCAGTTTTACTTTTTCTGCTTATTTTGTAATTGTGGATAGGAGTATTACCTGAGATAAGGGATAGCAAACTGGTGAAGTGAGTCTGTTTTTGCCATACTAATATCCCAAACATGTTCATTTTCTAATTTCTAGATGTCCAGTGCCACTGCCATGGATTCAGTGTTCCGTGTAGTAATCACACAAATATAGGCATCATACATGCATCCAGAATACTCTGAATTTTTACTCCTTTTTCAAAGACAATTTGATGTTTTTAAGAAGTTAGTGGGTAGATCATTTAGCAAAAGTACTTAAATATTTTATTATATACAAGTATTATTTTCAATACTGTGGAAGAGTGTTACTCTTAGAGTACACTGCACATACAAGTAACTGTAATGCAAGATAGAATGAATATGCTACAAAACAAAGTCCTAGGGGAGTTCTAAAGAGACCAGCCTCCTTTGATTGCAAACTTTGTAAAGAAAAGTTACTGAGGGAGTTGACCTTAAAAGTTTGGTAAGATTTTGACACATGGGAAATAAGACAAGAGAAAAATTTCAACAGAATTGCAAGAGAAATATTTTCTAGTGAAGATGACAGATAATTTTAACATGGTATGGTTATATAATCACTTAGTGAAATTATTTTTTGAGCAAAGCTTTACTTCTGGAAATATTGAAAAATTCATTCTAGTTAAAGATATATTCATAAACTTCTTTCTTAAATTCCAGTTAGATGTGTTATATATTTAGGATAAATGTGAATGGTTTTGGAGTAAAATATTAATTCGGTATATATTGTAATTTTGCTTACATTTTATTTTCTAATTTTCAGAGATTTTGAAGTTATGTTTTACTTCTAAATAATTGCTGCTATTCTTCATAGGTGGAATGTTTCTGGCGACGGGAAGCACAGATCATATTATTCGGGTTTATTTTTTTGGATCAGGTCAGCCAGAGAAAATATCAGAATTGGAGTTTCATACTGTAAGTATTGGTGAAAAGAATTAGATGAGTATAATTTATGTGAGTCTAAGAGTTTATATTCAGCACCCACTTTTTTATTTGTTTATATATAGGACAAAGTTGACAGTATCCAGTTTTCCAACACTAGTAACAGGTAAAATATTTGTCTAATTTAATTCTAATTTTAAAATTATGAAATAAAGACAATTTTAGTCATCAGATTTTATTTGAAGTTGTATAGGAAATGATCACCTACCTAAAATAAAGATCTTGACCAGTTATACTTAAAAGTGAATAAAGCCTTCACGTGCATAGGCACATGTCTATATCTTATTTGTAATAATGTTAGTATCCTTGGACCCTTTAAGTAATAACTGCTTTTTAAATTACCCTGTATATTCCATATATGTTTCAAAATGTAGAGAAGCTTTTGGTATAGATTGAAAATATGTCACAGTATAATATTTGAGGCAGACCTGTTTATTGATGATGTATAAATTTTCCCATGTTCTTGTTATAAAAGGAAATAAAGCTACTTCTAATACCTTGAGTAGAATAAGTCAGATTCTTTAATATTGAGAAGAAAATCGTCGTTTTTTTTCCTTGGAAAATGTCGATTTTATTTCTAGGGTAGTACATAGTGACCTTGAATCACTTTTGCAAATGTTATTTTTGTGACCTAGCCATGAAAATTGGAACGTTTGCATATAAAATTCTAAAAAGCCCATAAAGTTTCAGAAGTTACTAGAATGCTGCATAAGTAAAGATGAATGCTGTCTTTTTAAATGAGATCTCAGGAAAAAGTGCATTTTGGTAAAACATGTATGATTTCTCTTTGGGGGATTGATTCCTTTTAATATAGGTTTGTAAGTGGGAGCCGTGATGGGACAGCACGTATTTGGCAATTTAAACGAAGAGAATGGAAGAGCATTTTGTTGGATATGGCTACTCGTCCAGCAGGGTAAGAGGTCAAATTTGAAATATTCTGTAGATATTGATTATTTAAAGTACATTATAGTGCAGGTTGGTGACTCTCAGCCTATAAAATTATATATCATGTTAAAATTACTACTTTTCTGCAATAACTAGAGGTACAATTGGAGATGAGCAGTGTAGATTTTTATGAAATGATTCATTGGCATATTTGAGGACATTTACTGAATTAATTTTTTTAAGGGGATGATAAAAGTACTGTAATAATAGTTTTAACTCTAAATATTTTTTTCAGAAACCAGAACATATTATGTTTCATTTGTCACAGAGGGACAATATTTTATGTCCAATGGTTTCTTCAGCCAAGATAAATTATACTGCGTGTTGTAACTGTTATTTTGCTTTTAATGTTTTTCTCCACTTGTGTTTGTGTGTAGTCATCTCAGATGGATGGGAAAGCAGAACAGTCAGCAGGGGATGACAGCAACAGTAAAAGGTGGAGAGTGAGCAGCATGGCACAGAATTCCTGGATCTAGATAGTGTTATAGCAGTGATATTTATGCAAGATCATCTGTTACTAATGGCTTCGAAGTGCTAGAATTCTGGAAATCATGGATTTCCTGACTTGGTGCAGGGATTTTTACCCTCATTCCATGTTGATTCAGACTTCTCAGTTACTGTTAAGTGACAATTATTATGTTAGTGAATATAAATACAAATTATAGATTATATGTTTTGGTTTTTGTTGTGTCAGTATTTTAATAGTCAGTGTAAAATACTTCCTCGCTTTCAGCCAAAACCTTCAAGGAATAGAAGATAAAATCACAAAAATGAAGGTTACTATGGTAGCTTGGGATCGACATGACAATACAGTTATAACTGCAGTTAATAACATGACTCTGAAAGTTTGGAATTCTTACACTGGTCAACTAATTCATGTCCTGATGGTGAGAAAAAATTCTAATCTTTATTTGATATAACTGAAGCTGACTACAGAATGAAACATTCTCATTGAGGAATAAAGTCTTTTATGTTAACTAAAATCTCTTGCTTGCTGGGGTAACTGCTTTGTGAGTGACTGTGAATAATTTTAATAATGCAGTTAAACAGGTTTGGCTTGGAAATATATAGTAGATATTTGCTGTTTTTTTTTTAATATGAAAAGATCCATCCACCAAGCCCTGGACAATGATATTAGCTCAGTTTCATTATTATTTATATATGACAAATTTGAATATTTTTGCCAATTTAATACTTCTTAAAACTCCATTTCTGGAAATAGTGCCATATTGGTATTTCATTATGTTTGTTTTTCTTTCTTTTTTAATATCTATGATTCCTTGACACTTCAAAAATATTCCAGGGTCATGAAGATGAGGTATTTGTTCTTGAACCACACCCGTTCGATCCTAGAGTTCTCTTTTCTGCTGGTCATGATGGGAATGTGATAGTGTGGGATCTGGCAAGAGGAGTCAAAATACGATCTTATTTCAATATGGTAATTATCATTCTCTTCATTTTATACCTGCTAAAGATTTGGGAACTTTTTGACAAAGGTACTCTGCATATCACAAAGGAAATCCATTTAAAAATTGGTTCATTATTTTGACTTTAAGTTCCCATCAATAAAGAATGATTTATTTCACACCTTTATTGACATGCTGAATTTAAAAGAAAATTAATTGTGCATATTACAGTGCCTGTATATTGTGATAACTGATACAGTTTTAGCAGTGAAACTTTGGAAATTCACAAGTATGAAGATACAATGTAGAGAAGAAAAAATATTTGGAAAACCATATGAAGAAATTATAAATATATTGTATTATTGTACTTCTTTAATAGTGTTCTAGCACAATAGAATTTGACTCAAGTACACTGATTTTAAAATTAAAGCCAAAGAATCAGGCATTTCTTGCTTTTAATCAAGTGGTAGTATATTAAATATTTGAGTTTATACCCCTTTCTCTCCACATTTTGTTTCTTAGATTTTAACATAATTTGCTGAGTATTTGAATTACAGTGTTTTAATATGTCGCATACAACTTACTGAGCAGTGTTTCCACTTACTGTATGAAGTATAAAGGTCTCCTCAACTACTGTAGTTTGTGTAGTCATATTTTTTTTATGTCTACTTTCTGTATATTAGAGATACCTTTCAACAAAGAACAGAGGAAAAAAAACTCTTTCCACTATTTCAGCATGTTTAAATTTTTTTAAAAAACCAATTATAGAAACCTTTAGTAATGAACCATAAAACAATACAATTAGTACATGTGGTCAGAATTATTTTGCCAAATAAATTATTTTACAAAACAGTTATTTGTGAAATATGGTTTGTGAAGAAACTGGATGTGATGCTATGCTTGATTGAGAATCAGAGTAAAGTTATTTCTCTGTCGTGAGTAAGCAGATATAATAGCAGATTTTTTAGTGAGGGAAATAACTTTAGCTATTTTTAAGGCTGTGCCTTAGTGTACGTTAGGTAAGAAATAAGGTTTGTGAAACCCTCTATTTCTGGGAAACAGTGTTAATTATTTGGTGTGCACTTGTTAGTGATTGATGGATTTCCTTTGTGATTATATTGAGATTTTTTTTAAAAACCACCGGTAAATATGCTACTAAAAAATATTTTCTTCTTTTCTATCCTTGTGTTTCTAATTTGCTCCTTTTTGGAGTATCTGTTGAATAAGGAAATTAGTCATTTCTCAATTTGTCTTTATAGCTTAAAAAAAATAATATGTGGGCTATGCATATACTAGTGGCTTCATTTTAGTAGTTTTGCATTTCCAAAGGGCATTATTGTATTGGTAGACTGTTTGGAGGGAAACTTTTCTCTCATAATTGAATACTGCTTTAACTTTTCAGTTATAAAGGTGAATTTTCTCTTATCGGGTAAGTTGGTCACACTAATATTCTACCTTTTCAGTAGATATAAAAACTGCAGTACCTTGAGAGTTAAGTGATTTGCCCTTAGACCATTAAAAATTAGTAATGTAACCAGGAGTAGAAGTCAACCGTAATATATTGATATTTTTGAAAATTAGCTGAGGGATTGGTTACATTACTGCCTTAGAAATTGTTTATTGTTAAATAAGAGTATTAGATGAGGATAATTTTCTGGTTCTTTTTATGGATAAGAGATAGGAAAACCTCTAAAGAGGGCAGAAGAAACAAATATATGTAATAAATTGAATTGGATAGTATTCATAGAATTGCAGAGAGTGAGCAGAACATAAACCAGAAGTCTAAAAAATATATCCTGCATTTGAAAAAACAGAAAGTGAGCCACCGTTAATCTCATTAAAATAAAGATACTACCTTTAATTTTTTGTATGATGTTTAATGGTTTCCAAAATGCTCCCACATATTTTACCTCCTTTGGGTCCCATGAAAACCTTGTAAGATGGTCAAGATAGATTTTATTACTCTTGGTCTTAGGAATGGAGAAACTGTACATTATAGAGATGAAGTGCTTTGCCCAAATTTACTGAGTTCACACAGCTATTATGCGGACCGTTGGAGCATAAACCCATGATTCTGGCTGTACTCAAATCTAGTCATGTTTGGCTTTTTGAGCTTTTGTCAATGTTATTGCATAGCTAACTTTTAACTATACTCAGCTAGTTATATGTCCATGAAGAAATGTTTTCATAATGGTAATAAATCTGAGTGGATCTTTTGACATCTTACTCTTTAACTTGATTTTTTTCCTGTCTGTCTTTTATGAGTTATCTAATTGCCCTAATTCTTTTTGCTCTTCACTCTTTTGTTATTTTCATTGCTTGTTTTATTTATGGACAAATGGAAGATAAAGCATCCAGCATTGCTATTAAGAAAATAAAAAACAATTCGAGGGAGGGCCTGTGTTCTCACTGCTTGCTATCATGAATGTTGAGTTTTGGCTATAATTATAGCTGTTTGGCTCTATGTAGCTAATCAATAAGTTTTTCAGTTACTAAAATACCACGATACTTGATTGCATACAAATTTAATCCCTGATGTTAAGTTGTAGTAGTAATCACAAGTTCAGTTTAGTAAATGTTTTTTGAGTACCATGTGAAGGGTCTAGTCATATATAGTGCTTTGGTCTATTAGAGGATGAATAATTCTGGTGGAATACTCCTTTTTTGACTAGAAATGGTGAAAGTTATGTGAAGTATTGTTAAGATCAATTAATATTTCATGTGACCGTTAAAACTGAAGTTTATAAAACAGATAAGTAAACTCACCATTCCACCTATAGCTGGAAAATAAGGAATGTAGACTATACCTTTAGAATAACAGTTTTATGTATACATTTCTTAAATACTGGTTTTTATCAAGTACATTTTAAGAATACTTTAATATTTCTCCTGCTTTTTGAATAATAATTGAATTTTCCATTGGAAATTTATAGTATCTTTGCAAAAGATAATAGAAATCATGTAACATATAATTTAGTATTTTGTATTCATCAGCATTTTACTGCATTTTCTTGTGCAATTATGGAAATGTAAATTCTTTTTTTGAAATTTTAGAAATAGCCAAAAATCCTGTAATGTTAAAAAACCTTTCAAGTGAAAAGGTGAACTTTCAAATGCCTGATGCATAGTAATTAAATTTAATAATTTTTAAATATGATAAGATTATAAAACATTAACATTTAATATTGCACTGATCATCATCATTCTAATAAATATTCTGTTTTTTTCTGTTTCAAGCCATGCCTTATACTTTTAAAAATTTCTTGTGCTTTCTTTTGGGACCATCTAAATTTTTCAGCAAATTAAAGAGTTTGAGATTGGGAATTTAGATAAAGATATTTAGTTCTTTTATGTTTAAATGATTTACTTCATTCTGAAATCTTGAAATGGATTCTCAACTTTCAAAGTGGTATTCTCCAGAAAAACTGATGAGTTTATTTTTCTTATTTTTACTGCTAACTTTCCTCCTAATAGAGGATCTCAGTGATAAAAGCAGTTGGGGAGTGGGTGCTGGGTTTGTTTTTGCTGCTTATAAGTAGTATATGACACGTGAGATCATGTTTTAAAAGAGGCTAACATAGGGCATGAAATGGAATACACACGGTACATGTAGCTTGTACTCCCCCTACCGTTTCTGTTGTCTCATCTTTAACTAAAAACTTTTAAAAACCCTTATTGGAAAAGCCTTTGTAGTTCTTTTTGTTGCTGTTGGTTTTCTTTTTTAAATGAATAGGAGAAGAAGCCAAAGAGAATTTTGTAGAGAAAATTATGAGACAACTTTATTCTTTAAAAACAAACAAACTAAATTCTAGGCCCTCAGTAAGTACTTTTATCAGTTATTTCTTTACGAATCAACTGAACAGTCCTTACATAACTTGAGTATTCAGAGGAAATGTAGTATATATTTGGATATTTTCCTGAAGCAAGTAGTGTATATTAAGAATATTCCAAACTATAATACTTGGGTATAACTTAGCCCACATTTGTTTGGCATTGGCAGGAGGTAAACATCAGAATAGTTTTGTTTTGATGAGAGTTGTTCTAGACTCTAAAGTCTCTACTCCCATTAAATGCTAAAAGGCAGATAAATAATTCCCAGAAATAGCTTGAAAATGTGTGCAACTCTCAGGACTGAAGCTGAGGACCTTGTATGAAAGAGGTCGCCAGGTTTAGAAGTTAATTATAACCTTAAATGTTCCTAAATATAAATTGTTTTATGGTCTTTTTTTCCCCATTAAATTATCACAGGACAGCTAAGTTTTAACTATGAGTTTAAATGAATATTAAATTAATTTGAAAAGATAAAGAGACTTTTCACATTTCTTACTACGAGGCCATTTGAATATTAAATAGTAAATAAAAGATGCTTGGAGTTGAATTTGTAGACCCCATGTTTTTAGTAGCTTTTCTTATGTTTCTCGCGGTTTTGCTTTATTTCTCTTACTCTTTCTTTTCTCTGTAACCCTAGCTGTGTCTCTCTCTTTCCATATCTTTCTATTTCTGTCATGTTACTCAAAGCTGTAGTTTGTTGCCTCCTGTCTGGTTTTGATTTTAATCAAAGAGTACAGTATGTCTCTTGATAGAAAGCAGTTTTACTGAATTTGATTTTTGCTTTACTTTTGTTGTTTCATGGGTAAATTCCAAAAACGTTTTTATTTGATTAAAGTTTTCCTTATTTTTATAATTGTTCTCTTAACCTTTCTTTTACTTAAGAGATTTTTTTTAAAAAAAGTTCCAGTGTCCACTAATCCAGAACAATATATTTCTCCTTGCAACGTTCCAAACGAGCAGAGGCTGCCAATCTACCACCCAGAATTTTTGTACATGCATACTTCTTCTGATGTTAACATGTTCTCAGTGTGACCTGTACTTTATAGTTTTAGGTAATTGTAGCTGTATATCTCTAGGAAAGGGAGAAAGAGAAGCTCAAAATAGATACATCTCATATTGTGTTATCTCTTATGAATCAGGAGAAGAGTCTCTCTCTTTCTCTTTCTTTCTTTTCTTTTCTCCCTCTCCCATCCCTCCCTCC